GATGCAAATGCTCTACCAAGGCCAAACAATGCATTAAACAGCAACGAGATGACCGCAGGGAATTCAGGAGGTTTAATAAGACTTCTGGCTGAAAGGGTAAGAATGCAAACGTATTGTGAGGTCGTTATACGTGATGTACTCATAACCAGCTAATGATCTAAACTATATCGCTTTGTTTATCAATAGTCAATTTCTTGTATGAGACGTCCCTGCAGGGAATATAATCCTGGTAGTTGTATTCGTCATCTTGGACTGGATGTTGGTTTTGACGAGTACGGCTACCATGATTCCCTGTAGGCGCGTCGAGCTGACTATCGCTCGTGTAGGGCAATAACTTCAGCGTGTTTAGTAGAGACTCTTAAATGGTCACGGTCCCAAACCTAGCCCAAAGCTCCAAAGTTTTTACTTTATATTCAGTGAACGTTTTTTATAAATTTTAAATATATTCTGTCCTGGCTACGGTTCCTCTATTTTTAAACTTTTTTTGTAACTCGAAAATCAAGAAAAGTTGTTCCGTCCAAGATGCGGTCGTACTCTATCAGAGAAAAGACACTAACGGAAGACTCGCAGATCCGCAGATTTCCAATAGAACATGCTGATAAGCGAGTCGGTCTTTTAACAGGTTAATATCTCACAAGGAGCAAGGATATCTGTCAAGGGAAATAAAGAATCATGTGGAAATCTCAGCAACTGTAAGGCCGGTGGTGGAAGTGGAGGGATTGTCCAAATCATATCAAGATCTGGTTTTATGGCCCGTCACGTCATCAGTTTAGGCGGTCAAAGCGGTGGCCACAGAGACCCACCAGAGAATGGATTTCTGTACATAAAGGGTGAGAAAAATAGCACTACACAAGAAAAAGATTTGTAACGTTAACCGAATTTCCCAGAATAAGAATTATAGAAGTTAACACAGTTCATTGCTGACCGATCTAAAGATGTTTCCATCCGATTTTGGTGACTTCTGTGACTAGGACAAAACATCAAAGAGGGTCAAATCTTTCAAAATCTATTTCTAGTGCTGTAATTCAAGTTAACATTTTTTCTGCTGTTTCATATTCATCAATCCCATCAGCTACTCAGAAAGTCCAATACGTACCTTTCATTTGTAGGTGTCAAAGACGGAACGTTTAACACATTTCCTAACGCACCGTTCTCCTGGGACCAAAGTCATTTTTCAATAAGAATGCGGCCCTCTTCTACCATGGCAACCATCCAGCAAAGCGCACTCAAGAGCCAATTGCCTGCACCTACTTCTCGAAGAGAAGTAGGTGATACCGCTACTTCAACAGTATTACTGATTCCCACATCGATGCCATCTTACTACGGAGCAACATTAAACATAACAACAAGCTTTGTACAACAAAGTCCAGGGGTCCCCAGCTCACAACAGCTTTCTCCAACTCGTAAAGTAAGCAGTCCATTACTGCATAATCCACATGCTACATTCTCAGACACTGAAGGTAGGTAGATGAAACAAAGCTAGTCTTGACGAAGTAAGCTCTCTGTTCTAATCCTTCGTCGCCGAGAGAAACCACGACAAGTTCTCTCATTCCTTATAACAAATCCTGCATTTATTTGGATGGTAACTTTCACACGTGTGTTTTTGATCGTGTATAAGTCTTAAAGTAACTCAAAACAACGATTTCAACAGCTGATATTACTACCCCAACAGTGTTACTGATTCCGACATCAACGCCGCATTTCAATAGTGCAACATTAAACATGGCCACGAGCTATGTACCACAAAGTTCAGGGGTCCACTCGCAACAGTTTTCTCCAGCTCGTGAAGTAAGCAGTCCATTACTGCATCATCCACATGTTACAGTGTCAAGCACAAGAGGTAGGTAGATAGAACTATGCTAATCTCACCTTTCTAATTAGTGGAGGCCATGACCAAACACAACACTTTCTTGTATTCGTTATTTATAAGAAATCTTGCATTTCATTCAGCGAATATTTTACAGCAATATAGTGATAATAACTTTCACAAACTTTGTGTAGTTGACATAAGTCTTTTAAAAACCTAAAGCCACGATTTCAAATCTTGTTCGCGCAAACTACACCAACATATATACATGAAGATTTCACCCTGGGCTACAACTTCAGTTGTTCACTTTCCTTTTGTAATAAAGGTTATGTATGTCTAAATGTTATAGGTCCACCTTTAGAAAAAGAAAATCCTGAGAATTTACGCCAACTTCTTGATCGAGTGAAGTTATTCAAGGCAAGTTTGCGTTTCCTTTATAGCGCTGTTTTCGTTTCGCCGGTTTCCTCAAGCAATGCCCTAACTGTTTTTATACTACTCGGATTATATGATCCCTCCTGCAAATCTGGATTTATCTTTTATTGCACTAAATCTATTGTTGTGAGTATTTTTTTTAATCTACAGCATGGCTATCTTAAGAGGTCTTTATAACTTATTAATCATATTTGATGTCTTAAAGGGCGAAAAGAGTTAATTAAGTAAGAGAATTCCAATCGCATTGCATGAACTCTAATTAATAAACTAATCAATGAACCACTATAAACTTCCAGTCACGTTTTAGGAAGATGCATAATCTCGTATTTGTTATAATATTCATAGCACTTTTCTATTTATATTAGAATAAAAGCAACGTCTCTGGTGAGGGTGCAGGCATAACAGAGTTCGTGGAATCGTTTCAGGGATTAACAATTGTAGGAAATCTAACAACAGAAATTATCAACATCAGCATTTCGTTGGTCGAAGAGCTGAATACGCTGATGATGTCGGAGGGATTGCCTGTCAACAAGTCTGAGCTACAGGTAAACTCAAAATGAAATCAAAAAGTCGAACCAAAGCACGAAATGTGTTTTGCCAACAAGTCACATGGAAAGATTGTATCGAAGCCCTTGTAATTAAGAAAATTTTTGAGTTGCTTGTTCTTGTAGCGAAACGGTGTTTTCTTAATACACGTTGGCAGTGGCCTATTTTGTTTCACCTTTATTAATAAAAATGAAGCTTTTTTTAAATTGAAATTGTCATGAAACTGGCATAATAATGAAATAAATTATGTCCAGATGTGTTAGACCTTGAAACAAAATTCCCGTTAACTGCTAAGATCCTGCTTGAGTTCCCACTACGTTAATGTTCTTCCTTTAATTTTCGATCGCTTTTGATATTGACTTTTTAGAATCAGATCTCTACTTTAATGACCACTGTTGATGAACTCTTGGATGACAGAGATGCTTCTGCATGGCACAAGAGTGGAATGGTGATAACTTAAACCTTGATTTATCTTTGCCAACTTTGTTTAAAATCGTTGTCACTGTTCATTGCATTACAAAGAGCAAGATTCACCGGTGACTATACTCAGAAACGTTTTTCTTAGTACTATCATTTCCAACTTCAGTTCTATGCGTTAGCAAAGAAGAATGCTTTTCTTAACACTTTGTCTCAAGAAATAGTATAATTATAACTTTCATAACTAACGTAACCACGGTTGTCAGACGTACTCAGATAAGTTTTCAATGTTGATTTATTATTCTGTTGCGGGCTTATAGATCATGAACCTTGTCGAAGCTCTGGAGAAAACCTCATCCTTAGCTTTGAATTCTACCTCTACAACTAATCAAAGCATTTTGCTG